GAAAAAAAATCTTAGTTTCCGTATTTTTTGGTTTTTCCCAGATATTATGTACAATACTTTATACATAAAAAAAAAACAATTTTCTATGTTAAAGATTATATTTTACAAGGAACAAAAGCGATCTTTTGTAATTTTTTGATTAGAGCAATATTTCTGGTAGAAAACATAAACTGCAAAAATTAAAAACAATGAAGAAAGAAAAGGTGCTACACTCTATACATCGGAGCAATATTTCTAATGGAAAAATGGTTTACAGATGCAAATAAATAAAAAGAATAGGCATAGTAAACCAATAGATCAGTCACTACGCCCCAATCTAAAATGATTGATGTCATTAACTGTATTTCAAGTAATTTTGAATGAGATCAATTTTGATATTTATTGTTATTAATTTAATGTACCAGTTAAGACTACTTATAGATAATTGTTCATAATTATACAACTAAGTTAAGAGAAAAAATAGGTATAGGTAAAAAGTCATTAGGTTACTAAAATTTCAATTAAATAATAAATTAAATTAATTTAAAAGTATGCTAGGTATGATTATACTGAAGCGAATTATTGATTGTATCGAAAATAATTTTTTTCTTTTTATGAATTTTGGCTGCATTTGTTTAAGTACTAAGTAATATTAGATTTTACACAAATACTGTGTTTATTAAATCTGTTAGGTAAAAATATTATTATTGTTATTGTTATGATTATTATTACTACTCTTTATTAATTCCCTAAGTGAATTCTAGTCATAATATTCGTGGTAGAACAAAGGTATTAATAGTTTAGTAAAGATAAATTAATACATATCGTTATTTTATACTTAGTTGTATATGTAGTGATAAGTAATAACTTGTTCTATTATTTATTTAGTTTATTATTTATTAAATATTGTTGGGCCAATATTTAGGAAGTGAAAGTGATAAGGTTTTCCTTTTTGTCTATCATATGTTGGATACTTCGGTAAAATAGGTATGACAAAAAAAAATAAATTGAAGTTGAAAATTATTTCACATTAAAATAATATTTATTTTACTTTATTTGTATTGCATTGTCAGCACATGAACAAAGATTAAGCTTTGCCGATTATGTGTCGATTATTTGATGTTTGATTTTTTAATTAAAAATTCCCTAATATGTCCATACATTTACTATGCACTGGGCACAGTCATTCAACACAATTCTAAATGAAAATAAAAAAAATAAAGAATTTAAAAATATTAAAATAACTTATTAATTTAAATAAAGTAATACATAATCACTTTATTTATCTTTAATGAAATGTTTGTAGGTCCTAAAGATTCGTCTAATTTCAATTTACCCATTTGGTTTTAAATCAATCTCTCTTAAAATGCAACCTTGAAACTGGCTATTTCTTCAACTAATGACAGTAATTCATCTTTTATAACAAATTGAGCCATATTAGCAGTTGAAAATGTACTTTGGGATGGTTGAGATTCTTATTGTTATAATAAGCTGTAATTTTTTGTCACACGCTTAGAAGTAAGTTAATTTATTTTTTAGTTTCATATTATTTTATAATTACAAATTTCCTGTGGCAATTTAAATCAGTGGTTCCAAATCTTTTTTTTTATGATGACCTACGCATTTACTCTTTTTTTTGGTATGCAACCCACATTAAAAAAAACTGTTCTTGGATTTGGGGGGTACCGCCACTGTTATAGTTGGGAAGTTGGGAAGGTAGGATACAGAAGGGAATTTAATGTATATCTGTAAGCAACGATGAACCATTGCTAACGAAAAAACGATTCTGAGCGGAGTTCAGTTGATAGTGATGTTTTGTCAATGATGTCATATTATGGTAAACATATATTTTCTTTAATGATATTTTTTTATTATTGTACCGATTTTCCCGTTTTTTTCGGTTTATCACACTTGCTTGGAAAAATCGAAAAATGACCTGCTTAAAGCACCTTCCCAGTCGGATTTTCTTTCAGAAAAAGTGCTATCATTATAAATCGGAGCAATCGCTCGTAGAAAAGTTGTTCACTAGAAAAAAGAAAGCCGTAATATTTTTTAACTAATACTTATATTTCGTATATTTTCAGTTTTTCCTGCGTTTTTTTTTCGGTTTTTCACACTTGTTTATTTTCTTATTATTCTTACTAATATATTTTTATTTTTTCTATTTTATTTTATTATTAGCCAACCATAGGTTGGGAAACACTGATTTAAATCAATTGTTATGATCGCAGAAAGCGCCAATGCCAATTTTTCTTTGAATGTTGCTTAAAAAAATGATCATTCACGGTATTTTATATTTTTAAATTTGTAAACCATTAAAACTTACAGTTTTATCCTCTAAATTAATGTTTATATAGTAATATGATATCATATAGAGTTCAATGGTAATTTTAATTAATTAGATAACATAAAATTTGCAACTGAATATATTGTATACTGATAGTTTTAATTTTTGAAAGCAAAAACATTTTAGCATTTCTTCTAAGAATTTCTAATACTAAACAATTATCTGCATACCTATAATGTTACCGGCGTATTCGAATTGAGTCAATAAATTATATTTTGTTCAAGTTGCGTCCGCGTAAATAATTGATGAAATATACATATTTTCCTTCCTACTTTTACACAGTCTGAGGTCTATTATTTATTTAAATGATGTGGTTAAAAATATATATATATATATATATATTCGGTATTAATATTATAAATCATTCATCTAAAATGTATTAATTAAAAATTGTTAAAAAAAATATTATGTCGTACCTTTGTGAATATTGTTATACAGATACTGTGTCAATTATTATGATTTTTATGTTATACAACTGCTAAACTTTTGTACGATTTTCGAACGAACACAAGACGTGATAATATAATGGTTTTGTTTCAAACTAAGTCATAGTATTTTTAATACAATTTTCGTTTTCTACATCCATCTCTTCGTTTGTTTGTTAAAATTTTAGTTTTGCATTTTAATATAAATATCGGTTTGGACATTTTTGACACGAACGACATGAACAAAATGAATTTCCAACAATCAATTGTAAGGTGATGTTTATACAGAAATAAAATAACAATTATTCTTGCGGACACAACTAACTCGGAACAGTCGCCGAAAAACCGCGGACGCAATTTGGTTATCACGACGTATATTTTCGTTTTTAGGTACTCAATTCTTATGCAACCAATATTACATGTTATTATACTTCAATAAATTGGAAAATAAATAAATAATTTTTTTTTTTGAGGGGAGGGTTTCTTTGTACCTACATACAAATATAAAATAGGTAAAGTAAGAATCTAGGAAACGACTAAAGAGTAACGAGAAACAAATTTAACACAAATCGCATCACTAAAAACAATAAATATTGCAAACTGATATGACAATTGACAGTATATTTTCTCACCCTGCAGTGGTGAGGGAAGCGTCTAATAACATGGCTCGATTTCAGTATCAGTGTACGCGCCACGGTCTTATATTACGCCATAGATATATAAAATATTATAATCTGTGGATTACGCACTCTGGTCATAGGTTTATCTATCTCGAAGAGTGATAAAAATAATGATACTATTCTGTGGTGACTGGTGATACGAAATAATTGATAAACTTGATTGATATCAAATATGGTTCAATTAAATAATAGAAACCATTTTCTATTAGAAGCGTTTTTACTTTTTACCCTTTAATGAAATGAAATACATTGCTTTTGCTTTCCTTTAATATCCTAATTGTTATTAATATCCTGTAGTTTAATATCTTTTCTGTGATCTTATTTTAATTCGGTTTTAATATCTGACAACAGTTGGGTTGAATATACAATTGAAATTTTAAAAAAATATGGTAAGCTATATTTTAATTCTTCATTGGTTACCTAGGTACCTAATTTAATTTTTATAAACATTTAGATACACTTTAAAAATTTTGAAATCAGTTACCAAAATGTGAAGATTATGAATATAATCTTGGAAGTTCTGTAGATAAAGACCATGGACAGGGTAAAAGGAAAAAAATCCAAACCTTGGAAAATGTCTGAAAACACATCTTCCAACAGTGATATTGAGTATAATTATTCACCCTTATTATTCAGCATACCAAAAGGTGCTTTTGGTATAAGACAATTTTAAGGGCTTTTCTGAATTTTTTTTCGTAATATCAACTCAATATTACCTATACCTACTTAGACGTTGCTACGACTATTCCTATGTTGGGCCCATTACACTAACAACCACTTCTGAAGGACTATTTAAATTTGGAACCAACAACACTACATAATAAAAGGTGAAATATAATAATACATTTTATCCATAGAGAATAAATTAATAAATTGCAAACATTTTAGTTTGATTAATATTGACGAATATTGCAACATTCAGCTGTCGTAAAATATAAATACAGCCTATAGTTATAGTACATAAAATATTTTTGATCATGATCCATTTACAAAATTATTCATTCATTATGTCAACAGATCAAAGCACACAATTTGACTAACAGATTATTGAAAAAACTCCTTGTGTAGAAACAAATGAAACCTGCATTTACAACAATAAAAGAAGAGTTTTCTAGTACTTTTGTATTACAGGTATCTTCCAATTGACAAAAATGAAAGAAAATCTACAATTACCGGCTTCTTATCATTTAATGGTAGGTAATAATTAGAAATTATGGCATTATACTTAAATTATATTACTAATAATATATAGTGGTTTTAATTTCTAGTTGAAATGTTTAAGTCAATGTGAAAGATCAAAAAATGAAGCAATCACAATCATTGTAAAGAAAATTGAGAAAACAAATTTAGTTTATGACCCAAGCTTTTTTAAATTTTTTTTTTTCAAAATGTGTGTTTTTTAATGCTTAATTCGTTGATTACTGCTGTAATAATAAAAGAGTATGAACTCGAAAAATACTCTGTAAATCATATACAAGCGACAAGCGTCAGCGTTAAAGACAATCATACTTAAGTGAACTTTCTGCAACAAATAACACTGATTATTCATTATGGAAGGCTACACGACGCATGAAGAGTCCTAGAGCCTATGTACCACCTATCCGAATGGAAGATGAATCATGGGCACGCTGTGAACAAGATAAAGCAGATATGTACCCACATCATTTAGAACGTGTATTTCAACCAAACGAAGTGGCTTCCGAACTCGACATAGCTCAGTGTCAACCATTAAGTGAAACATGCAATAAGACAAAGCACTTTACTCCAGTTGAAATCGCAAAAGAAATTGATATGAATATCAACCAAAAAAAGGCACATGGGTATGACTAAATTAACCCAAAAATTCTGAAAGAATTATCTAAAAAAATCTATGATTCATCTACCACACATATGCAATGCCATCCTACGTGTAGAATACGTTCCTAAACAATTGAAACTAGCCCAAGTGATCATGGTACTTAAACCAGGAAAACCACCAGAATAAGTCACACAAGCTTTCGGGCAATTTTAAAAAAAAAAATGTATTGATATAATCAAAATTTACCTATTATACTTACTTTTATAGTTATTGCACATGAACCTTGAAAAATAGCGTTTTTGGAAATAATCCTAAATAATGTGATAAAAAATAGACATTTTTTTTTATTATTATTATTTGTAGTTATTGATGTTTTGATAACAAAGTTTTTTTATTGAAGTCAAAATAAGTCTATCAGACTTATCAGATTTAGAGTTAAATTTTAATCAAAAATAACCCTCAATTTGTTGTACAAAACCACTGTAGATAACAAGGTAAAGTGAAAAAGCATTATAGCATTTTTTCTCTTCTAAATATTTGATACGGGCCAATGTTATAATATAATATATTCAGTAAAATATTTTAGATTTCCATGAGTTTGAAATTATGATTTGAATTTAGTAATATTAATATTGCTATATCCTATATTGCTAAAATATGATTATAAAATGTGGACACTTCAATATTTAATAGATTTTGTATATGATTTGTGACATTACGAAATGGGCACTTTTTCTCTAAAATTAACTAAATATGTATTTAAAATGTTTAATTTTTAAACTATCGTATAGAAAGTATTTTTAGCTTCGTCTGCTAAAAATTCGGTGCATATATAAAAATATGCAACTCCCATAACTTCTGAGCCATAGTCATTACAAATAAGATTGATAAAATATAAATATAGTTTATTTCTAATTTTTTTATTTAAAACATTTTTAATTATATTTTATACACATTTTTCAGTCATATTTTTTTTTCATTGCATATAATTTTTCATTACAAGAATTTTAAAAGTATGAATATTATATAATTTATTTATTATTTATAAACTCAATATATGTTTATACTTTCACTCATACTGTATTGGGTAATTTTGTTTTCCTTCTTACCAACAATAATAAAGCACCCTACAGATTCTGAACATACAGTCAAAACAAAAATTAAAAATTGGCTACAATTAGTAAATACACGAATATGAAAGAAGGCGCCAACAATGACTCTAGAACTTAAGTAGAAACAGATTTTTTTGTTATTAATATTAATTTCTCACAATATTTTTTTTTTTTATCAAAAATTCACTGATTATAGTGTCAGTGTGATTTTTATTTTAAATTATAAAAACAAATTCAATGTTTGTACAATATAATTCCTGTGAATACTGAGTTTTTATACTGTAGACTAATCATTGACATCCGTAAAATATACATTACAAGATATCAATGGAATGCCTCTAAGTAGATATAAATTTAAAGTATATATAGAAATATATAATCTGTATATAACAAGATATAAAATATTTATGACTTTTAAATCTTTCTTAGATCTTATATAGAAATTTCATAGATTATATTATTCATCTTTAAGTCTCATCATATAAATTTGATATCTAATAGGCATCATTGTGTTTATTGGGTTTGCTTTTTTTTGAATCTAAAAACAACCAGAAAGTGCATTCAGCTATTATAAAACATATTTAAAATAAAGACATTGTAGGATAATGGGACGGGTGCAGCCCGTTACTGTTATAGGTAAAGACCGGATTTTACAAAAAATGCATGTTGCTATTTTCAATATCATATACATACAGTCAATGAGTGTCCATAAATCAAAATAAATGTTGAATATCAAAACTGTATACTGCATATTTTTGCATATTTTGACATTAATGTATATTCTGCATATTTTGCATTTTTTAACAAAGATACACTTCACGGTCTAATAAGGCGTCGAACAAAAACAAAAAGATTATATGTACGTTAATATATCAAATATTTTACGTTACAGAGAATATTCGGATACTTATAATAGGTTAACTAAACTTACATAGTGGAAAAGTGGTTTACCTGTTTTATCAAGATTATTCCTTAGATATAATTTTATCAACAAGATTATGTTGATAAAATTTCCTGCTACATTTATACCAACACAATTTATTGTTAGTATGAATTAGGCCGTTGACAAGTTAATGTATTGAATTCACGTATTTTTTAAATTTTATTGTGCATGTTTTGCTTTTTTTTCTTGCATATCTTGCCTTTTTTTAGTGCATGTTTGGATGCATATTTTACAATTTAAAATGCATACAGATCTGGTCTACAGTTATAGATAATGTATACCTGTGAACAACGATAAACCATTGCTTACAAAAAAACGATTTTTGATGCTTTGTCAACATTATTTATGTCATATTATAGTAAAACAATTAAGTAGGCTCTATATATTTTCTTTAATAATATTTGTTTAATGTTGTACCAATTTCTCAGGTTTTCCTGGTTTTTCTGTTTTTTCCCAGTTTTTCACATTTACTGAGAAAATTCTGAAGAAAATCTAAAAACGACCTCTCTAAAGTACCCCCATAATGAAATTTTCTTTCAGAAAAATTGTTATCTTTATAAGTGGAAGCAAAATTTCTGGTAGAAAAGTTATCCACAGAAAAAAAAAATAAACACTCAGAATCTAAAACTACTTTATTGCTTATTGCAATAAAAAAAACAATTCTGTTGTAGCTGCATAAACTGGTTGCCATGCCAACTCAAAATTGTCAAAAAAAACTAAGACATTTTAGGTACTTACTGGATTCATCAGAAAATACAAATCATGTATTGAAACTTCAAGTTATAGAGAAATATTTCTGAAAACGAACTATTTCAACAAACAAATGTATTATTAAGAGTAAGGCTTGAGACAATTAATAGAAAAAACTTTAATTTAAAACATCAAACTAATTTTTAACAATCACTTATCTAGAGTAGGTATCTGACAAAATATTAAGCATATACTATTATCTTTGTGGAGTACTATACACAATAGAATTAATGAAATTATCTATTTACACTGATTAGTTCTACGAGTTATACATTAGAAATTTAACTTATAAAATATATTTTCATATATATATATATATATATATATATATATCAATATATTTTTTAACTAAAACATCAGTCTTGAAAATGTTGTCTAATTTTCAAGTATATTTAAATAGGTACTTATTAGGTATAAACAAATTAAAAATAAAAACAATAATTATTGATCTTGATTATATTTTTTGTACTCAACAATTTTTAAAGAGCAAAAATAAAATCTATTACTAATTGAGTTTTAAAGATATATATATAACAAAATGTAAATGTTTACCTATTAATAATATTTCAAACATTATTTTATATTATTAACACTTTACCCATAGTTTCATTTAGGCAAATTGAATAAAATAAGAAATATTATTTTTAATAATATCAAATACTAATTAGGTATTATCTACCTAGATGTCTACAATATAAGTACCTAGTACTTGAAAAACTTTAAAAAATTAATATTATATACATAAATAAAATTGGTGTATATGATTTTTGAAAGGAGAAGAGATCAAAGAGACTGTAAGTAACAAGGAGTGAAAAGGAAGAGCAAATTAACTTCGGTTTCTCTCACCCCCGGATATTTTGGCAGTTCTTATCATTTTTGATAGGGTTTTTTCTAATCAAAACTAAAAGTGCAATAACTGTGCAAACAATATATTATTATACTCTTAAAACTGTGATTATATTGAAAATAAATTTGTCTTAATTGGGTTGAACATTGAACAATAAATAATGATAATATTTAATTTTTACCATAGCTAAGAATGCTAAGATAAAAAAAAAAGGTGATGTTGGGGATTAAAATCCCTGTGTACACACCTCTGATGGAGAACTATAATAAAGTATAAACTTAATTACCTATGTAGTTATAAAGATATTCAATTAAGCAGGTACACACGATCAAATAGTTTATCAAATATTTGGCGAACGGAAAACTTTGAAAAATGGTTCAGACGATAAAATTATCCATAACTTAGACTCTGTAGTGATTGGTCAAATATGATTATATTTGTAAGGATTCAAATTTAAGTCGTGTAATATAAAAACATTTATATGTCTATGTACTGATCACATTGTAAAAAAAATGTCATCAACATCATGGTTTAGTACCTAACCTAACCTCATTAGTATATTCTCACTCTATGATATATATTAGATATAATATATAGTTTACATACATATCTACATTAGAACTAGGTGCAATATGAGTTACGACCATAAAAAATTAGTAAAACTATATAAATTATGGGAACTAAGGAAATTGTTAAAAATAAACGTTCAAGATTAGAAAATAAAGAACCTTAGTACCTACTTTTACTTTCTATGTAGTATGCATTAGTATTTTTGTAAGTACAGTGAAACCTCTGAATAGCGGACACTCTCGGTCGCCGAAATTTTGTCCGCTATTTAGAGGAAAACATGTTTTTTTAACAAATAAATAAATTCAATAATTTTATTTTATATTATTTTTACATTAATTGAATACACGATAAAACTAACATTTATGAAAAAAAAACAGTTACCTAAATTTTTCTTTTGTTTTTACATTAATTAAATACATACATAATTTCTGAAGAAAAATCTGTTACTTTAATTTGTTTACTAATTGCAGGCGTAGTTATGTCGTATGTTGAGGCATTTTCTAATTGGACTGTGTTTGAGAACAATGAACTATTCTGTACCTCGTTAGAAGAAATATATTTACGTATGTCTTTTACTGCTAGCAATGCCTCTCGTAGACTTCTTATTTTTGCCGCAAAAAGCATTTCTTCACTGTTTCGGGTTGAATGTTTTTTGAAGATGAAGACACCCAGTAAATTGCATTAGCATAATATACAATAAACGTTGGCATCACAAACACAACTAAACGCACACAGGACAATGCATTAGTTATAATACTTCGTTGACGCGATAATATTTCAATGACTGAACGGATAAGATAAGATTTTCATATACAGTATAATAATGTACACATAAGATAACTTAATAANATTTTGTCCGCTATTTAGAGGTGTCCGCTATTTAGAGGAAAACATGTTTCCTATACATAAATAGTGAAAATGTTCCCGTCCCCGAAAAAACGTCCGCTATTTAGAGGTGTCCGTTAAAGGAGGTTTCACTGTATTAGATTCGGTGAGGCATCGGTATTGGTTTTACTATATGATGTGTGTGTATTACGTACAGTTAAAGACAGTTTCTTGTGATTTTGAATACGTGTTCAACGTGCACTTTATATAATATAATACAATAGTTAATTCTCCTAAGAACTCAAAAATCCAAATTCATAATTTTAAATTATATCTTATCCCGCCACTAATTCGTGATCACCAATTTTCAATTTATTATCAATGTAGTAATCCAATATTTGACAAAACTGTTTGACGTACGCGAAATATTCGATCGTGTAAACCGGACTTTAGTCGACGGAATTCAAATGTTATGTATAGTTACGAAAAAAGGTCCCACAGATAGCGCTTTTTGAAAATTATATTAGATTCAATCAACGGAATTATACATTTTAAATTATAACATTAAATAGAACTATATTACCTAGGTATATTTTTTATTTCTTATATAGTATTATAGACGTAGTACAATTATACGCCTCAGTCAATTAAAATTATCAATTAAAATATTAAATAAATGTGTTTTAAAAATTTGTTCGGTACATCAGTCAAGGACGTCGTTTTTAGCATATATACGGGACATTTGACAGTGCAAAATCCAAGATCATACTTCACAGATTCATTTGTGAAGTATGCGTCGTCCGCTCCAGGTGCAAATCTGGGGTTGTCGTCGGCCACGATGATGAATTCGTGTCCTGTCCGTCTGAGCGTGAGACTGCTGGTGATTTATCGTTTTACGATATACAATCATTTCAGCGACGATGATCGCACACCGTTCGCCGGTACAGCGGATCGGGCACACTGAGTGGTTCCATTTTTCGTTAAATTCGAACCTCTCCCCCTCTCAAAATGGTGTTGAAGGACTAAAGGTCCTTCATCACCAGCATTATATTAAACAGTGGTGTATTACACGGTCTCTCCCTTTGTCAAGGGAGGACGTGTTCTTTTTATTACGCGTTTCTATGTAAATTCGTAACTTTTGTGTGCGCGCGTGTGTTTGTAACACCACGCACACTTATACGTTATACACAAACGCATCTTGTAGAAATCCGACGCGTAATTAATTGCGCACGGTGAAAATTATAATTTTCGACAAAAATATAATCAAAGTGGGGAGGGGGGAAGGGTTGAAAAGCAAAACACCTCCACCCCCTCGCTGCGCCACTGAATACGGCCGTAACGTATGACATATAATATCACGCCAGTATTGCTAACACATTTGCCAATGATCAAAATAAATAATTGCAGGATTCATCAGCCGGGAAAATAGTCTGGTCGTGATCAATACTGGACCCCCGTGTTCGGCGCCACTGCCCGCTGTACACATGTTACATTAATATTGTGTGGTACTGTTCAATCTCATATTGAATATAATTTGATTGCGTTTCGGTTTGTTCTCGTCAAAGCGGTTCGGCGGGGAAGCAATCGACTAACCGACAGACAACAAAACGGCAACTGCTCCGGGGAATATTTTCGCTATTGAAAAATCGGAAATTCTAGAATTCACCAGCTACCTAAATCTAACGGTTATTAAATAAAAGCAGTCTTCTATCGACTGCGTGACGAAAATATTTGTAAATTGTAGTACGTTCAATACTGTATACTAGCTCTGAACCGACGTGCCGACCGCAAGGTTTAATTTTGTGTGTGCTTTTAACTCAGATTTTTTAAAAATGTTGTCTACAATGTGTTCTCGGCTCCTCCTCATTTTTTTTCCCTATTTTTCATAACATTTTAATAGGTATGCTATGAAATCACTAATATCAGAACCACTGACTGCACAATATGCGGTCGCATCTTTCTCTCAATAACTTGAAATACTTGTGCATGTTTAATTCGTGTCGAATAAAGTATATGTAATATAGGTGGATCATATTATATTTCATGAAATAAAATAAAACTATTGCTGTTACTGTTGAAAAAATCTAATATAGGTATTAACCTATATAGTAACAAGTAATAACGTCACAAAACAAAAAAAAAAAACGGTTTACAGTTTATACGCGTTTTGATTGACGTCAAATTTATTGGAAATTTTGACTCATTACTACGCAAGTACCCACTTAATTTCACTATTTCCTCACTAGCTCCATACTGACGTGTCGATCGTACAGTTTAATTTTGTTTACGATTTTATTTCACCGGAATATTTGCCAAAAACCGAAATGTCAAATTTAATATTATAATATTGTATCGTGTTATTATATTTCTAGCGCGATCCTGTGGTAGGATTCTCAGACTATACACTCGACACTTGTACCGGGATCGTTTTCAATAACACTATTGTAATAATATATTGATGATAATAATTTATAAATGACACTGTTAACATTATCGAAATACTATTTAACGTCGTCCAGACGCTAACGATATAATTGTAATTACCGACGTTTTGTGTATTTTGTAATTATGTATACAGAAGACGCAGAACTATTGACGGTGGCTCGATCAGGTGGTCAGTTAAAATAACAGAACAAAATTCAACAATAATATCGTGTCATAAAATTTGTAGTTTTAGGTATTGAGCATACATTCTGGCCTCTGGACAATATATTATAACGAATATGTACACTCATTAATGACTTTATATAAAATAGAATTACACAAATTAATGTAGGTACTTACACGGCTACATATATACATGAAATTTGCGAAAACATGACTAATATTTAATTATAATTATAATTGAAATGGATTATATTTTACTATGATATAGTGATAATGTCTTTACGTTATTCGATTTTTATCAATATCATTAGCGGAGTGATGTTTTTTTTTTTCTGAAGTCTAGAGCATTTCCAGTAAAATAAAATGAATCAGAACTGTACAAAAATATATTAGATGTTTCTGTACTTAGCCTTTGTCGTTAACATAATATCTAATGACAAATTACTGCCCATAAATATAATTTAAAAATTAGAAACGTATACAGTATAGTAGGTACCATTACTAAAATTATTTGTTCGATGTTAGGTGTCTACATGTTATGGGATCTGTACATTTTTATATTCCTTATTACAAGTAAAATTATTTTCTTTTTTTTGAATGGTTTGATTTTTCACTCGGTAAATAATGTCTTGAACTCTTTTAGGAATATTTTTTGTTTGTCCCCTTAACCTTAATAACAACCTTCAATTAGAAAATACGTAAAAAAAAAAAAAAAGAAGGAAATTAGAGTGTAAAAATTTTGTATCTTTGAATACCAGCTATATGAAAAAATCGGTGCATTATTTCTGTACTTAACCGATTTGGTATTTTCAACAAAAAAATTAAACCGCTTGGATGGAGTTTTGAGAATTTCAAGAATAAGTTTCATGCAAAGTAGAAAATTGGCATTCTTTATGGTATCGCATGAAAATATCAGAACGTTTTTACAATCGTTTTCATTATAATATAATATATTATAATCATTTTAATTAGTGATAGGCGGAACCGACTAGTTTTGGCTGTTGATAGTTTAAAAAACACTTGAGTGTTTTTAACTATTGACAGAATAAAAACAACCGGGTACTTTTTCAACTGAATAGATATTATCAATAGAATTAACTACTGGATAGTTGATAGTGTCCAGTTTTGGCCCGATAGATTTTGGGAGCCGGTGCAGAATTTTGCGGGGCTCCGTGTTTATTTACATAAATATATAATCTATAATTATTTATTTGATTTTCTAACGGACTTACTTTAATTTTATATAATTGTGCAACATTCGAGGTCTACTAACGAGTTTTACTACACAATTTTATATTTGTGTATTTAATAAAATAATAGAACTACCTATGTATGTGTAAAAAATAAATTAAATTTATAGTTGTTTACATATTTTAATTGGTACAAAATATACTGTAAAAGTAACATTGTATATTAATATTATCAACACTAACATTTATTTTTGATAACCACTAAATTTAAAAAAAAATAGTATCCAATTCAATCTTTCAATTGTATATGGGTAGTATACAGAGTGTAACATAGAGATTTGCCACTTGAAATAACTTCTGTTCTATTCAATATTTTTGTATGTGTTTTTTTTAATAATTAGTTTGTTTCTGCACTACAGTTTATATATTATTAACATTTTTTTTGTTAACACATTCGTGGACAGCTACTGCTATAGCAGTAGAGTATATATTGTTAAAAAAAACACACTCCTGTAATAGCAGTATTATTTTCAATGGTTTTATATGTTAGACAATATTTTACTGTCAAATTACAACACTTCAAAACATTGGGCATATTATTTGTNTACCTTAATTCTATATTAAAATACAGGAAGTTATGGAATGATTCTAGTTTAGCTCCATTGCGATTATTTTTTCAAAATGTGTGTTTTAATGCTTAATCCATTAATATGATCAAAACTTTCCTATTGCACTTAATTTTATAGTTTTTGTACATAAACTTGAAAAGTAGCTGTATTCAATTTGAATGTGTATAATTTTAATGATATCATTAGATTTTTTTGCTAATCTTGATTTAATCTCCAGTTTAAATAATTTAAATTTAGATGCAGCGCTCTCAACATTTTTTTAAAATATTAATTACAGGGAATTATTTGATATAATAAAGAGTTCCTAACAGACTTGACTAGATTTAAGAAGGAGGCTCATATTAAATATAAAACAAATAATGTTTATTCAGATTATTTAAAATTTTTGGATTTATGAAAAAAAAAAATGCAAATATTTATGTCATCGTATACATGGGAATCATATTTTTAAAATCAAAAATATTATAAACCTAAATTATAAATCTTTTTGGAAATATATTAAAACTCTAAAGTCTAATAAATCGAGTATTTCTTCTTCAGTTATGTTGGATGGTATTGTGGTTGATAGTATTTAGAATAGATATTTATAAGCTGTTTGCAAATTATTTCTCTTCCGTGGATTCAGACAATAAAATTATTATTGGTCAACACGAAATATCATATAGGTACAAAATATTATCCTGCTCTTAACTTAAATTTGTGTACTATTTTTGAAACAGAAATACTTGGCTCTGTAAGTGATGTAAAAGGAGCTGGATCGCACGGTTTATAACCTGTATTTTGAAAATCATCTCTCTGTACAAAATCAAACCTCTACTCATCTACACTAATATCATCAACTATCATCAATTAATACATTTATTGCTCTACTCAGAATCTAAAATTATAACTTTAAAAAATGCAAAATATGAGTTGCAGTTTGGTTCGTTGTTACATAATTCAAACTTTGAGAAAACTAAGAAACTAAGAAAACTAGATTTTGCAGTAAAATTTACACTTTCCTAGAAATTTACAACCCTAGTCATAACTAATAAAATAATAAATAATATTATGAATAATGGAAAATTGTCACTACAATTACCTTTATACCTACCTATTCAAAGGCATTAAAATTTTCCCGAATTTACATAAACTTCTGTAAATACCGCCTACAAATTACTATTTAGGTAAGCTTAGCATCTTGTGAATGTTCATTTTCGATATTCAAATTCTTCATTAATTCACATAGAATGAGTCATATCAAATATTAATCCTGTAAACATTTTAATTACTCTTCCGGAAAAAATCAAATTGTTAAGCTTAGTTTTAAAATTTATTTGTAATTTTTAGTAACTACTGTATTAGTTCTTGTGTCGTTAAAACATATTTACTCTGAAAAAATACAAAACCAGCATCTAAGTATTTATTTTTATTTGCATTGAATTTTTAAATATTTATCTATATATTGGTACCTAAAATATACTTTATTAATTAAATATATAATAAGCAAGCTTAAATTGAACATGGTAATTATAATACACTCTATTACTTATTAGTGTGATAACATTAATATTATCAGGAATTGCGTTAGATTTCAAACAAACATATTTCAATATGGGATTATTTAGGCAAAATTTTATTTTTGATCCATAACAATACAAATCTTATGATGGTATTCTTTGAATAGCTTAAAATCGAATTAAGATTAAGTTTTATAATTTAAAACCATAATATCCGAGTTTGTTTACTTTTAACTGGTAAAGTTCAATTTCTGAATTGTGTACACACATTGAAAAGGAATACAACACATTGAATGTTATGATATATTAAACTTTATTCCTTTCTCATTATTAGAACAAGCTAATTCTATATTTCAAATGGTTGCAGATTTAACAAATTTACAGCCACCTCTTTCAGAAGTAATTAAAAATAAAATGTAATTATTTAAAAAATAAATATGGAGTACATATATATATATTTATTAATAAAATTGTAATCATTAATAAAATAAATTAATCATTTTTAAAGTTATGCAGTCTATGTTTATTCACTGTGTATTTATTCATTTTTGAATATATTTAACTATACATATTATCATCTTGATATAATTAAAACTAAACAATTGATACTGTATAAAAATATTGAAAGGAATTTTCAAAATTTTTTAGGGACTAAGTATTTAGGTACCAATAAATATAAGGTTTACATAGTATACCTACATTAATCTAATCTAATTTATGGATAAATAATAATTGTTATAACAGAAATTGAGTTAAATATTAGAATAATAAGGTATTTAGTTTTATAATAAAATAAAAATTATAAGTAAGGGAACTCTGACCATTTCTTTGGTAAAAAACTATTAAAATTAAATAAAAATTAAAAAAGTTATAAATGTGAGCTTGTAACAAAGTAAATAAAATTATCTGTAATCACTATAATATTCAAAATTAATGTAATTATACATTATTGCCTATCGTATGATTATGAATTCTAATTGGTATAATAATAGTAAATAATGTCCTAGTATTAATAACTAAAAAAAAAAAGAGAAAACCGAGTATAATTGAAGGCACCAATGCAATAACATGGTACGTCCAAATTTACAATTGTTCAGGAGACACAAAAAACATTTTTTTTTCTATGGATTAGAAAAATTTTAAAATGTTAAAGTATTATAATATTGATTGATACATGGATCTATCTCATATAATTACATGAATAGCGCATTTTAATTATTATTTAATATAATAAACATAATAATATCCAAAATATTTAAATATTAGTTTTTTTTAGGCACAATAACAGAATGGTTGTTGCACCGAATTTTTTTTATAGGTTATGAATAAATAATTTAAAATAAGCAAATTTAATGAATATACGTGATTTTGAATCATGAAACATTATTTGAATAGTATAAATTTACATAATATTAATAACACTATTTTAAAATAAAATAATTGATCATTATTATTAAAAATGAATAGGTTTTCATTCAGTTTATAAAAAATGAAAATAAAAACATACAAGATTTTTATAAGTATATTTTATTAAATATAAGATTTCAAATTGTGTCCCCTCAATAGTCTTTTAAGTTGTCTAAAAAAATTAAAACAACTTTTAATGTATAAAAAATAACAATACATGATTAATCATGAGAAATAATATTTGAATAAGTATACTATAGTAAATGTAAGTTTTTCACTTGTTAAAATGATTATCAATATTAGTGCGTCCACAGTTTAGCCAATATTATATAATTAACTGGCTATTAAACAAAACAATGCATACAATAATAATTACTAATATTATTATCAAATTCATTACATACCGTTAATGCACCAAAAAAAAAAAAGTGATAACAGAGTAGGTAGATTCGTAGATTAGATTGGCGCAAGATTGGTTATTGAACTGATCGATAGAAAATATTTTTCCCGAAATTTTGATGTATAAAACCCATTTTCGAAATTTTGGACGTATCTCGTTCTTAAGGCCTTTAATTTGTCTGTTTGTCATAGTTAAACAACGAAATCTGGAAATTACACGTAACTCGATTTCGACAGAATTTTGCGTGCAAAATTCGGTTATCTATCTACCAATAAGTCAATACAATATGAAATAAATGGAGATGACGAAAAATAACGTGAATTTATCTGTCTTCGCTACCGCGTTGGGTATGTATGATTAAGTGCGGGTTATTATGCTATTTCCTTTTGGTTGGACATTTGGTAATGCGATTATTGTGTTATTGCGACTGGAGTGGACGGGGATCGCCTTCTAAGATCCTGCAGTCCAGTATGATCATTGTTAATCTGAGGGTGACTACCTATAATCGATTAGATCTGTCTTCTTTAGACCATCGTTTGCTATATGAAAAACTATCAAATCTTGGACAATTCCCAATTATCCAATTGTCTAATTCTAATAGAGTGAAACCTCTGAAATGCGGACACCACTCTTGGACACCGGACATTTGTTTGTTATTCTTAGGGTTCTGTTGTCCTGAGGACATGGATGTACCTACAAGGGTGCAGGAAAGGGTTCACTGGGCTTAAACACTTCCCCATTAGTTGTATTTAAATTAGATTTGGAGCGTAGGGAGGAATTTATTAGTTTTACTGTGATGTGTGTTTTTTTTCTGTCTGTAAACAACTTATCGAAAAGTAATCTTACTTCGATGTATAAAGTAGAGTGTAGATATGTACATTTAGGTTACTGATAAATCAATATAAATAGGTAACTCAAAATGGTGAACAATAACGTGAATTTATTTGCTTTTGCTATCGTATAGGGAACTCGGATTTATTTTATAGTGTAATAATTTATCCTATTGTAGGTAGGACACCAGTCAGATTTATAATATAACCCAAACCCCAAACAGGTATATTGTAGAATCCTATTAAATTGGAATCTACTTATGTGGAACTACTACAGGAAAACTTTAATAATAATCTTTTTATAGAAAATGTAATATTTTTCTTGGAAAATAATGAGTATACGAAAAATGTTATTTCATTATTTTTTCTAGATATTATTAAGCTCTAAAATTAAGGTCCTATACATTTTTATGCCAAATGTAATAGTTTTATACATACATTTTAACAACAACTTACTTACCTCCTGTCATTTTCAACCCAAAGTCAGCACCAGAAGAGGTTGAGTAATGCTTTCCAAATTTTACCCAAATTTTTTTTTTATGTGACTTAACAAATCCAGTGGGTATTGACTAAATATAATTAAGTTTAAAACAATAAGGGTCACTCTAATAATCTTGTATTGAGTGTACTGACTAATATTATAATTTATATTAACTATAATAAGTACATAAGTAGTATGGATAGATGAATAACTTTACAATAAAATTAAACGGTGTAGAACTGTTTCTATTTAAACTTTCACATAACTTAGCCACAATACATATAGATGATCAAGAAAGTTGATTATTATGTTAAATTTTCTGTTATATAAATATTTAGTTTCAATTATTCAGTATATTTATTTCATAAAACATTAAGTATCTATAACATTAATAATTATTATATTAATGCACTGTTTATTAAATAATCATTTTGATAAAAGCAAAATAATATAATAGGATATGTAGACTTCATTCACATAATGGATATTATAAAACATTTTACTAATTATCTATAAATATATAAAATTCTATGTAAATTTTAATACAAGTAGGTATAAAATATATGTATATATATATATGAGCATTTAGGTAATATAATATGTAAGTACATAACATATTCAAGACAAAAGGTTTTATAAAATCAAATAAGCATTGATATTATTGATTTTGAAGTTTGATGACACATGTCAAAAGTGACATGTCACATGACACAAATAAAAATATGTTTAAAGCATTTTACTTGAATAGATAATAAGTTAGGGATAATATTATACCATAATGTATACTTTTTTTTTAATACTAGTATTTATATTTTAAATAAAATGTATTACATCCAAAAAAAAAATAAATACATAACAATAATAATGATAGTATAACTAAAAATAAAATTTTCCTTTAAATAATTTTTATTACCATAAAAATTTGAATATTATGTCAAAAACTTAAAATTTAAATATTTTTGGACTGTCAATGTTTCATTAATATCAACCTGTGTTTAATTTAATGATAAATGTTTTTTGTCACACTCAATTATCCTATGTTCAATTTTTATTTTCTAATACAGTGTTTCTCAACCAGTGGCTGCATTTATAGGCAAAGAAAGGTAAATGATAATAATTTGGGTGTTTCCTTTACTGCTAAAGCTAAATTTACTGATAAAATAATACTAATTATCAAAGATTCAATGTCATTATTGGACCAAAAACTTGATTATTACTTTTCATCGCTGGATTTGAAATTGTTTGATTGGGTGAGGAATCCATTTAATCCTAGTTTAGAAACCGTACATCTTTCATTAAAAGAGGAAGAAGAACTTGCAGAACTAAAAAGTGATCACACTCTTTAAATGAAGTTTAATAAGCTCGAGCTAGGTAACAAATTTCGGATTTACACAAAAAGAGAATATCCGAGTTTAATAAAATCTGCTCTATTTAATATAACCCTTAATTCATATTTTTATTATTGTGTGTCACAAAGTATGACATATTTTAATAGTGTGTGTTGCCATAGTACAAAGATTGAGAAACACTGTTCTAATGGTAGGCAGCAGCTTGGAAGATTTTTTTGAATTTTCTTTCTTTTTTATCTGCGAAAATGAAACATAATAATACATTAATAAAGTTACAAAAAATAAAAAGTTCAATTTAATTTTATTTATGTATAATTATACACAAATATAATATATGGAATAGAAATAAATAACTATATAAAGAAAAATAACAAAAATAAAGCCTAAAGTATTATAATATATTATTAATACATAGGTTTTGATTTTAAAAAAACCATCATCGGATAATAGAATAACAAAACTAAAACATTGAATATACAATTAATATGAGTAATACACTGAAAAAAATGATTATTGTGTACACAGGAAGTAAACCAATTCTAGTTGAAAGCTTAGTAGTTAGTGTACTCACTGTGTAAAAAATAGTATATTTTAAAATTATTTCTCATATGGATTTTGTATTCAATTTTAAATAGTCTAAATATGTTTTTGCTCTTTTTATAACAATTTATGTAATTTTGGGGGTATATTACTATAAAGAGTTTAACACAAATAAGCTGACATTTGAAATAACTCTTTCTCTGTTCAATATTTTATAGTTTTTATCCTTCTTAGAATTTATAGAGCCCCTGATTACTTAACAAACTTAATACATTTTTTTAGAAAATCCAAGTCATTTTATAAATATAATTTTGAAACAAAATTTAAATATTGCAGATATTTCCTAATGACGAATCCTATAAATTTACTAATGAAGTTTCGAAAATCTGTAAAATTACATCTTTAACAAAATTATTTTTTTAATGGAATGTTGGCGAAACAATTGATATTATTCATAAGTGGCAACAAGATCAATTTAAAGCGCTATCAGGCGAGACACTTTGTGGCCTTGTGTCTGAAAAGAATCTAAGACTAAGATAACATTACATAAATATTTGCTTACATAGGAGACAAAGAGATGGAGTGTGTCTCCTCCTGGTCAGCGGCTGGACACTGTGTCCGAGTTTGAGCCACTGATAATGTATTGACTTGAATTAGTACATTCAGAGGAGACACGCATATTCGAGTTATACAGTTTCAGGAGTGCTCATTTATTTAATATTATTTAATAAAATCATTATATTATTATAAGTATGAATTTCGCCAGTTTTGATACCGACAAATTAATTGTCAACATTGAACTTTGCCCTTCATTATGGGATACATCACACTCAGATTGTGCAAAAAAAATTATCAAACAAGAAAGCTGGAGCAATGTTTGCCGAAGTTTTAAGGAAGGGTTTGATTCTATGGATGCAAAGGAGAAGGACAACTATTATATATATATATAGGATATGAAAATTACACTTTTCTAATCTATCCCCAACAATAGGATGCACTCAACGAAGCCTTTTATTTTTTTTAGTTTAATTATGTCTTCTTTTAAGCAACAGAGCTAGTATTAGAGTTTCTTCTACTTCCATGGTTGAGTAAAAAATAAATAATAATTATATTGAATCAGATACTCGTGTGAAAGTCGCCCACACATGAAACGCTTGTTTTTTCTCATAGTGTGATTCTAGTGGCTGGCCACAAAGTGTCTTGTCTGAAAGCGCTCTTAAAGTATTATACAGTTCAAAATATTGTAGAAAATTAAACATTCTCCATTAGTAAAAATTTCTTTTTTTAGTTTTGAAATGAATATAAAAACATACAATAAAGTAATCATAATATAAGGCTCAATAATTATCACAAGAAAAAAAACCTCAAAAATATTGAACAGAACAAAAGTTAATTAAGGTTTGTTTAGGTTATTATATGTTACAACCCATATATATATATATATTGTTATTTTATTTATTTACTTTCATTTTTATATTTTATTGAGCATTAATCTAAAATTGTTTTATTATACATGATATTTTAGTATTCTTGTACTAACAAGAACCTAGATAATAAAATATTTACTTTTAATGCGAATTGGCTTTTATTTTGATAGAACTGCTGGCAAACTATTCCATAAACATAGCAATTAAATTCCCATTTGCTGCTAATTGATATGCTTGGACATTGAATGTGATTGCCTTATTCTGAAATAATTTGATAAGCTCAATTCAAAATTCAATATAATACATGCAGATAATCAGTATCCTCCTATGCACAAATTGGCTAAATAATTTAAAAGTTGGTTTTGTTTTTGTATTTTAAATTTAGATTATTTTTATTCAATTTTATGAAAATAATTATATGTTATGTGGTTCATAAATTATTTTTAATATTACTTAAATATCTTATCCCTACATAAATAGGGATGGAATAAGGCATTTAAATATATTTATTTTATGATCTTGGTTTTTTTACTTGGTCACTTTTTGTGGAGAAGATTGCATAATGGATAAACTGCTTAATAAAAGTACATTTTATTTGCCAATTTACTAAATCACATTATAAATTAAACTTAGTATTCATGAAACTGGAATAAATATTGAATTATTATGATATAATGATATATATCAATTTTCTAACTTTAATAATTAAATAATTATATTTATACCTTATATAATTGTATAAACTTAATTTTTATTTTAAAAAGAAAACCTATCGGGACCCACTGGTTGAAGACCACTGAACTATAAGACATTCAAGTCAATGAGACTGACAGAGTATGGACAGCGTTTAGAGGCAAATCAATTAGGAATTTGTAAATTCTTGTAAATTAGCTAATATTTAATCCTTAATTATAAATTCAATTACTCTCTCTAAGCTTACACAATACAAATTAAAATAGATAATTGTTTCATTCGTTCTAATACTATAAGTAATTTCAATTATGAAAATATTTAAGTTATTTAGTCACAATTTAGAATTTATAATTTTAATCAAAATATGGCAAGACACAATTAGATGTTACTACTTTATAAATGGCTATGATTTAATTTTTCTATTTTCTAGCTCAGACTTACAATAATAGTTATTTATAGTTACAGTGGAACCTCGATAAGTCAAAATTCAAGCAAAATGCAATTTTTTCGACTTTCTAAGGTTTTTGAATAATCAAGGTTACAAGAAAAAAAATTTAAGTTATAGTTTTTAAAATGTATGTACATATTATAGTCTTTAATTTTCATGTAGACATATAATATATTTGAACATATAATTACAGTGTGTATTATTATTATTATTATTTTAAAATTATGTTACTAAAAATGATTAGGTTAAACTATGGGACACCCAAGCGGATTAGACAAATGATTATACAAATTATCGGTCATTAATTGTCTATATAGGGAACACAGAATGTTCAAATTACAAACTATCTATAGTTTTTCTTTTGAGTAACCGAGGTTTAAGCAAGGGAACAACATTTATTTCGGTTCTACATTTTTTACAATTTTTAAACATGTGGACACCTATTGATTACCTCAATCTCCTCCTCATACTCTATCATCAAAATAATACCTAATGTAAATTTTATTATAATATTACATTGAAATGTGTTCAAGCAGGGCAAGTTTACCTTCTATTTTGTTTCCACAAATCATAATTTTTAATATAAACATATATTTCAGAACTTGAATATTTTTGGTGCAACTATTAAGGCCTTGTCAAACAGAACGCATTAATAACATTACATATGTCACACAGAAACCAAAGCGTTGTGTCATGATAGGTTGATAGTAGTCGATAATAAAACAGTATTGTTAGTATGTTTGCAAGGTATAGATGGTATGGTTGACAAAAATGTCCAGTAGTTTGGATGAAGAAGAACTTTTACTTTTATATGCAGTGGTTGAAAGTCAACAAAAGGGGAAGCGAATTTGGGTTCATGACATAAATAGAAAAATAGAAAATTATGGCAAATACCACCATTTATGTCGTTATTGTGTTTTAGACGAGTCATGTTTGACAGCCGATATGATTTGTAATTGAATAAAAGGCGATGATAATAATGCTTTCATGTACGTGAATAACGCGTTCTGTTTGACAAGGCCTTTACTAATAATTATAATAATAAAAATAAATTTAGTTGATATTTTACGTTTTTCCAGCAGAAGTAAACAAAATCGTTTCATCCAATTCAAAGTTTGGAATTGAATGGATCATTGTTGTCAAATGGATCCCAGGCTCCAAGTTCGCCAATGATGAATGGAACCACCACCGCTACATTGCCCTCTGCTAACTCTACGCACAGTTCTGTATATCTTTTTAATCATTCATTTTTAAGAGATATTGTTATCAAACTAAAATAATTTTAAAATAAATTAATAAAAGAAAAATTGAATTGTTTATGTTATAATAAATATATTACCTTGTTGCTCGTCATTTGGGTATTGTCATCAGGAAGACTGATGGACAATCCAATCCAATTTGTTATCTATGGCAATAGCTAAAACAAAAAAAGAACATTTTAAAACGTTCATATTTTAATAAGTAATGAATGTACATAGGATCTTAAGTAACTTTGTTAGAACTAATTTCACACGAATGGATGAAAAATTGAAAACATAAATTCTTTAGCACCATATTATTGTTTTTTGTTTTTAATGATAACGATTGTAACGATATTGATAAAAGATAGTGGTTGATAAACTCTTGATATATGTGATTAAAAAAAAGAGAAAAATATTTTTTCGTTTTCGTG